GCTCATAAATGCTTAGCGCAGTAACATCGGATGACCACACGGACCATCTGAACGATAGTTTTGATGATTTTGGTGAGCGTAAACAACACTGACATTGAAAAGCTGGGACATGTGGAAATAACTTGAGAGTGATTAACAAGCACCGATGAAAACTGTTCATTGGCGGCTCTGGCAATGGTTTGTTTTTGCTTAGAGTTGCTTAGAAGCGAGATGATGGCTATTTCTGGTTCTGGTTTACGTTAGTACCAATTTATCATCGAAACGAATGAACAAATTGTTAAAGGATTGATTATTCTCCCAGTAACGGATTGGAATGCTCGATTTTTATCACTGGAATATTTTTTGTTTTTTTTTCAGTGTGATATAACTGGTCATAATGTGTTGTTTTCGGCGCAACTGCATCCGGGACCTCGCTGTTTGTGTCTGCGAATGGATGTTGATGGAATTGTCTGGGAATTTATCGATCAAAAAGAAAAAGTGCATCACTGTACAACATTCAATGCTCTCGGTTATGTTCAGGCATGTGCCCACTTTTTTGTTTTTTTAAGATGCGTTTTTTTTTTTTTTTGAACATATTTCATATTTTCTACAGATTACACATTCATCGTGATATGGAAGTAGTTACTACCATGGTTACTGCTTGGTATACTTATTGAGATTGTCAGTTGCATAGCTAGTTATGGCCATAATAATTCCCTGTGTACTGTGCTTTATTTTTATTCGGGCAAGCAACAGGTGTTATTGTGAATGGAGCCCTTTCGCAAAAATTGTTCCGGACCGGGAGGGAATCGAACCAATCCTCTTCGTGCCCGGATGCAGCGTGTTACCACTACACCAGCAGCTCTTGTGCTTCATGTTCAGGCTGGTAGCACATCTACTGTGTATTTGCCTTTCAAAGCAAGATGCATCGTGCTTTTCTTCTCTTTTTCTTTGTGACGGCTTTTTGGCCGCCTTTTTGCGAGTGCTTCGCGACAGGTGGCACGGATTGTCGTGAGCTTATCCAGAAGATGGTTTTGCAGTAAGGGCCAGGCAGCTGTGCGACGTCATAAAGCTGTAATCCTACAATTGTACCTGTTCTCTCCTCCGACTAATTCTTGACACTTTGACCTACTTCCTTCCACTCACTAATTTCTAACAATTCAACCAAATTCTAAATGTTTCCATATTACCTACCTTCTTACTCACTAACTAACTTGCGCTCCTTTTCCCTCCATTAATTTTCCCTATATAAACCCCTTCCTAAGTCCCAACCCTGAGTATTTGTGGAAATCGACAGGATCGACAACGCCACTCGACCGTCACGTCCTACTACTAACTCCGCTAGGGATCTCGCCTGGACACCGCCAGCGTTCTTCTGTTGAACAGCTTGTGCGGCGTCTCGGTTCGTCGTTTTATGCGTCGTTTACTCGTCATTTTATTCGTCATTTTTTTTTTTTGAAGCGAAGCTCTTATTTGGAAGAGTAAAGTGCTGGTATTCTTCTCTGTTTTTCGCTACTGCAGTCAAGAACCCGTGAGGGCCTAATACAACAGCACGTGGGAACGTCGGGAAACAGCATCTGCACGTACCAAACCAAAAATGCGCTACTGAAGCTAAACAGCGTTTTCCCCTTTATGCTAAACAAGACCTATTAGGAATACCTGGGGTAGTTGTTAATTGATAATCTTAAATTTCAGCTATACAACAGGCAGCACTTCCATCCACGTTTTAAATTTTCAATTTTCAGGCTTCAAAAACGCAAAGGCGATTCACCACTTGCCAGAACGGAGGTGAATATGCCGTTATTGTGGAAGCTAAGCGACATGCATTTGTGTACTGGCAACCGCTTATTGTTGATTCAGGTGCTATTATTATTTTTCTATCGATTATTTTGGATTATCATTACAGAGTGTGAAGGTTTTTTCCAGTAATCACACTGGCCTAACAGTCAGGACAGTAAAACTGTTCGATCTGCGTGATAAGATTCTAGATTAGGTTCCGGGACTACTGTACCCCATTTGTGTTGGATACTGTAGCGGTGTAATTACGGTAGGACTACTGTAGCAATATTACGGCCGCTGTAGGAAAGGAAGGTTACCAGGTGAAGAGCTGTTTGATTGCTGGCCCACTACAGCAGAAAAGTTTTGGCTGCCGTAGATTCACTGCTGTCGAATTTGCAGATCTGCGAAATCGAAGGACAGGCCGACGAATCCCAGATTTAGCGAAGCAGTATCTGATCACTTTGAGCAAACGTTCGGATTCGGGAGACGATGGAGTCGTGTCGGAAAACATCGTTGGCGTTCATGCTGACACTGATTTCCTTTTTATTTTAACCACTGCCGACCTTTTTGCTTTCAAAGTGAGACATTTTCGAGAAGAAAATAATCTTGTTGAAATGACCTGAAATATAAATTTGAAGACAGTTCCCGGCTGTACTATCCAAAAGCATGTTGTGAGAGAGATCGATTTATGTCGATTTGATCTATTTTTTGCATATTTCTGAGAAAATTTTTCGTCTTCCATGCCAAATTTTTTTTTTGATTTTTGGTGGAAATGTGCATTTCTTCATGTTTGTTAATGTTTTGTTGACGTCATGGCAAGAAACTCTTCATTTTTGAGAGGAGAGTTGTGACTAGTGACATAAAACGAAAGCTGTAAAATATAAGTTTGTAAAGCTGACGATGGTAAGGAGGTACTGGCTTATGTTGCAAATGAAAACTGTTTGTAGTCTAAAATTTTTCCATTAATTTCAGTCTAGAAGATATGTTAAGTTCAAAGATAATGGATCTATTTAAATATAAATATACTCGTGAACATATGGAAGAGCAAACTGTGTTTCATCTCTTAGCTATAAACAAAGAGCAGAGCCTAGGAGCATGAATCTTGTAAAGCGTCCTACTCGTCATGTTTTTATAATAAGCATTTTTAGGAACATTTAAAATTAGCTTAAGAATAAAAAGGAAGAAAACATATCATATGTATTGAATTTAGGTGCAAATAGCCGTCTTTTCTGCTTCAATTTTTACAAAAATTGCGCGCTGATGATATGTTATGTTGAGTTTTGTGTTGAATGTTGTAGAAGTCTCGAAATAAGATTTTATTGGCTTTTTTTTTTGCTATTTTTAGGACAGTTGTAAGTACTGTCATAGGATCGTCCGAAACCCATCCAAAATGAGAGATAATTGAAAAAGCATGACAATTTCATGTGTCTTTATTTTTCGCATTTTCGAACAATCTGCATTTTTGTTTTTTCTTTCTTTGTTGTTTTTTAAAAGTATTTTATTATGTTAGTTTTTATGCGTTTTTTGCAGCAATGCAATGCGAAAAACGCATATTGACGAGAGGTTGTC